TAACCATAAAAACAGACAAAAAGTGCTCCATGCAAGAAGCGATAAAAATACAAAAAACCCAATTTACTCCTGCACTCAATGAAAACTCTGCTACATTCGCTAGTATAGCAAAAAATACGACCAACAACTTAAATGAAAATAACAAACTCTCACAAATCTCTTCTACAGAAAATACTCCTTCAATAATAAATAACAAACCTACCAACAATATGAATAGCGAAACACAAGAAAAAGAAATAAACGAAAACAATTATACCACAGCAAATATAACAAATACAACAACAACAGGATCAGTCGATGACTCTCAAACCCACGCAATGATCTCATCATTGCTTACTCACCTTACAGGTCCTCTACTAACAACACCAACAATATACTCACCTCAACCTACAATATTCCCCTCTCTGACAATAGATAATGAAACGATAGAGTAAACAATGCGAATTTTATATTGGAATATAAATGGCTTACTTAATAATTACCCTGATTTAAATATTTTAATTAATGAATTTTCTCCTGAAATCATTGCTTTACAAGAGACGCATCTCCCCGCTAATAAGATAGCGTATTCTCCTAAAAACTACACAAGTTACTTTTCTAATAGCAGTCAAAACACTTCCTGTAAGCAAGGCATTACAATTCTCGTTAAAAACTCCATCAACCATAAACTCATCCCGATCACTTCTGGCATTGCTTCGGCCCCAATTGTTTTGTTAGCCGATTTTAATACTTGGAGCCCGCTGTGGGGTTCTCCTGCTAGTAATAAAAGAGGAGAAATCATTGAGGATATAATACTTTCTGACAACCTAGTCGTTCTTAACGATGGATCACGCACTCACTTCTCCACTCACAAAAGTTTACCCATCCCGATATCACCCTTGCCTCCACACCAATTGCAAGCAAACTTTCCTCCAATACACTTCAAGACCTCCATAATAGTGACAATTTTCCGATTATAACCTCCATTTCCAACCCTAATTGGTATAAAGGAAGACCCACATCAAAGTTTTTAACGGATAATTCAGATTGGGCAAACTTTCACCGTCTTTCTGTTTTATTTTCGGAGAACAAACCCCTGTCAAAAAACATAAACGCTGAAGCTGCCGTTATTAAAACAATCATCCGATCAGCAGCACACTACGCGATACCCCAGTCCAGTACCAAGCACTTCTATGCTAAATTGCCATTTTGGGAAAATCTCCTAACAATTTTAAGGATGAATAAACGAACATTATGGTCCAAATACAAACATTCCATAACTGACAATAATTTCACAAGCTATAAAAAAGCGAACGCGGTGTTTAGAAAATAATTAAAATCTGCCAAACGAAAAGCTTTAGAAACACTCACCGCCAATATCAACCCATTTTCGAGCACAAAAAAAAATTTGGTCAGACATTAGAATTCTTACGGGCTCCTCACAACGATCCAGCATACTATTTATACATTCAGCCCAAGGTCCTATTTATAACCCTCAAAACATTGCTCAGAAGTGGTCAGATAATTCCAACAGTCATAATTTTCACAACGATTTCAACACCTTAAAAAGCCAAACAATCTCTGAAAACTGCAATAATCCATTTTCCTCACTCAGAGCCGTCCAAGCAGATGCTCCCATCACATTAAGAGAATTCGATGTAACAATTGCATCGATGACTGGTAAAACTCCAGGATTGGACAAAATTTCCTATCCCATCCTTAAAAATCTCCCTCGATCCATTAAAATACGAATAATTTCTCTTTACAATAAAATCCTCAACGAGGGAATCTATCCACAGGAGTGGAAGACAGCTTCCATCCTTCCCATCCCCAAGCCCAATAAACCTACTTCTCAAATAGAAAATTATGGACCCATATCCTTACTTCCTTGCATGTCCAAAATTCTGGAGAAAATAATATCTGTAAGAGTTATGTGGTTTGCCAAAGCAAACGCTTTTAGAAAACCCCAACAATTTTGCTTCCAAAAAGGTTTAGGAGTAACTGATGCTCTGTTATTTTTCGAACACTATGCCTCTACGGCTTCGTCAAACCGAAATCACGGTTCTGTGCTAAGTTTAGACTTTGGAAAAGCATTTGACAGGATTGGACCTCACATGATACTCAGGGAACTTAAAAAATGGAATGTTGGCGAAAAACTATATAATATAATAAAATCGTGTTGTGTTATTTACCATTGCGTTCAATGAAATAAGTACAATTATAAGTTCGAGTGGAGCTGTCAAACACTGCATCTATGCCGATGATGTTTTAATATTCTCTCAAACTCAAGATCTAAACCAAGTTAAACACATATTTTTAAATATATTGAATAAAATAAGTAATTGGTCAAAAATTTCAGGCTCTAATATATCGCCTAGTAAATGTAAAACTTTTCACATATGTCGGAAACAAAAGCGCTCCTTTCCTAATATATCCTTTTCTAACGTTGATCTCCCACGTACTAATAAATTAAGAATATTAGGGCTTATATTCGACAACAAATTAACTTTCAAAGAGCATTGTAAATATGTTAGAGTAAGTATTTTTTCTAGATAGAATATAATTAAATTCTTATCATCTAAATACTGCTTAGTACATACAAATACTCCTGTCAATATAACAAAAGCTTTAATATTATCTAAAATTGACTTTGGACTTTGTATTTACGGACACTGAGCTAATACAGACATTAAGCTCTTGAACGCGCCCTACCATGCAGCAGTCATAAGAAGCATTCGCGCCTTCCCAACGTCACCAATTAAGGCAATTCTATCAGAAGCTGGATTACCCCACATATAAACTACCGAACCATGCGTAACACCATGATGCTTATACCGAGGCTACTTCACTGCAGAAATGAATTAATTTTTTCACAAATCAATTGTTTTATACGAAATCTTAAGACAAGTCGTAAGCCGTCTACTATTATGCGTTSCTTAAGTCTAGTTCAACAGAATTTAGTAATCACGATCACCACTACAAAAAATCTAATCCTGCGGGAACAAAGCCTTTATACCCAGGAAAAGCGACTTGTAAAAATATAAGGTCATTTATAAGACTTCGAATAGCACACACAACAGCTACACATGCTCACATCTTAAATGGCGTAAATAAACCAAATTGCGTGTTCTGCGGATCAAATGATCTCACAGTTATACACCTCCTCGATACCTGCCCGGCACTTCAGCGAATCAGAGCTAATGTTTTTTCTAACAACAAACCTTCTTTATATCTAGAACGGACTGATGACAGTAACATAGAAATCATATCTAAATATATTTCGCTTTACAAATTAAATATTTAGTTTAGTTACATACATGCACCCATTTACTTTTGCTTTGAAATTTATCTTTTTTATTGTATCTAAATTTACGTTATACAAATCCATCTCAAATGTGAATATAATAGACTAAGATTTTATAACATAATCAGAAGGCCCTGGCAGCCAGTGCTTTATATCTATAAGTGGAACGATTATTTATAATTATTTCTCTTTTAAATAAAAATAAATAAATAAATATAAAAAAATATATTTTCAAGTAGTTCTTTAAATATATAAATTACACACTGAACAATACATTCAGTCAAAAAATTGTTAGAGCAAGGGCTAAGTTCGGGTCTTGCCGAATATTTTATAATCTTGCAACTCGCAAGAGTTGCTTCCTTCAGGTGCTGGTAGAACTTTATTTTTAAAGGTGTTGCAAAAAATTTCAACATTTATTATTCCAAAGTAATTAATTAATTATTGAGTAAATTACAATCAAATTTAGAATATACGTGTCTTACATGAAAGGCACTAACTTAGACTTAATATTTTACTATATTTTAGTTAGTGTTAGCTAAAATGATATAAAAATATAGTGAAAATATAAATGATATTAAATCGGCCGAAGATACACATTTTTACCAACTTGAACGCTTCAATATATGTGGAAAGGTGGTAATTTTTTATGTGGTACGTTGCGACAGAGAAGGGGATGGGCTGATTCAATTGCTTTGGACTTTGTTCAGTTGCACTCGAGAATATATTATACATACGTATATATGTAAATAATACTTACTTAAATAATAGAACACATTGAACATAAAACTTGCTGGAAGAATGAAAATCATTATAAGTAGTAAATGGGAGGTGGGGGTAGTTATGACTCAGTTTTATCTATTTTCGCCAATACTAAATACATACTATTAACATACTAAATACTAAAAAAATATTATTAGGATTTCATTAAGATAACTCACTTACTTTCACCAATCATTTAGGATAAGGTCAGATTAATTTTCGAAAATCCTGATGCTACTAATAACGAGGCTAGACCAAGTTTTCGCCCAATTTTATCTATCTTAGGCTCAAAGATACACCCTTATAAGTAATTTTCATTGATTTAACTAAATATTATAATTAGCCGATATACTTATGCAGTAGAAAGTCACCCGARAGTTGGAAAATATTTATGTTAGGTATATGGGGCTCATGGAAGTATTGACCCGATTCCGTCCATTTACAGGAAGTTACTACAATCCATAAATTATTCTCCCCGAATTTCGATCACATATCCCTTTAATAGTTTTTAATATAACATCATAGTATGAAGAGTCGGCGAGTTATCATTCGAGTGCACCTGTTTTCACATTATTGTAAGAAGGTCGGTGCAAATTTGGGTAATAAGGCTTTATTAATTTGAAGGATACGTATATTAAACGTGCGCGGTCTCGCTCCCTTTTTTAAAAATTTCAGACCATAAATTATCCTCCTCAATGTGATTCGTTGTGCTAAATTTGAGTTTTGTGTCTTAATTTACTTAGATCAATGAATGAATAGAACCGAAATGTACCTCGCTATTGTCCACAAATTTTAATTCTGAAAAATTAAAATATGCTGTGACAAATACATTTCCATAGTACTACTTTTTTCTTTTCATAAATATTAAAAATAAATTCAGGTTTTTAGTTCTTTAATATTGCTCACTATTATAACACGATTTCTAATTACTGTGCAATTTTTGTATTTTCAGGAGCTTTATGTTAATAAAACGTCATCTTATCCTAGGTTCACTCTCACAACTCTAATTCCCGGAAATCCATATATTTTATCAATTTTTGCATGGAATTTGAAAGGACGGTCAGATGCCACGGTTTTAAATGTAGACGTGATTAAAACTCTAGATACGAGTTTAAATGCAGGGCAAGGTAATGCGTATCTATATATTTGCAAAACATGCTATTACATATTTTACATCTTTTGCAAAAATACTTAAAGGTTATTCCAACCTTCCAAAAAGAAGAAAGGCTCTAAGGTTCGTTTTTTTTAATTGGTCTATCCAAGGAAGTTCACCATTTCTAACATATTCGATACCATTTAGCATTAAAATGTAAAAAAATCTTTATAAAAATATTAATTATTATCATGGTATTAATATTTTACATATGAAATATGTATTGTAGGGCTTGTTTTGTTAATTATTTACGTAAGTATGTTATTTGGAAATAATTTAAAGAATCTTATTTGAATCATTATTATTATTATTGCATTCAAAGTAATGCCAATTTTACTGTTTAATTGAAYCCAGTTAATTGGTTCCCCCATATTTGGTTATTGAAAGAAATATACTTCAAATTTCCCCCAGTTAATTGCAAACAAACATTTCGTTTAACAATTCATTTGGCATTGCGGAACATACATATTTTAGAGTATTTATGATAAGCGGCTTCACTGCAAAGATTACGACAGATTTACAGTTATTTTTTTAGTTTAAGCTGTGATAATTGTTACAAAACCAAATTGCACTTTGCTGCCATGTTCTGCCATAGTTCTTTTGAGTTGAGAAGAAGAAGCATGTAAATTTTAAACAAAACAGTAAACACTTTTGTTAATTTGTAGTAAATGGAATAATTTTGCCTGGAAATATTTGCATCTTTTTCAAACTTTAAATTTTTTATATTTATAGACACCGCTTACGCGGTTATAGCCGAGTTAACAATAGTGCGACAGTCGTTTCTTCTTTTCGCAATATGGTGCCCGTAATTTTTTAAGCGAAGTTCAACTTTTGGGGCTTTTAAAAATTACTTCGTGAGTTTTTGAGATATCCTAATGAAATTTAAAACATAATTGTATTTTGCATCACTAGAATATATCATTTTTTGGATCGATATAGCCRATTTTTTGTTTGTAAATTTCAATACATTTAAAATCTGTTTAAATATAAAAAACAAAATTTCATGAAAAGACAATTATAATGAATTATGGTAATATAACATTAAATGCACAAAATATAGAAACAATTAAATAAAATAAAATTTTAAACATTAATTAAATCCAACAGCGAGGTTTAGCGAGTTGTATCTTTTCTATCTTCTTCGTTGTAAACTATTTCCAGCAGTTGAATCGCAAATATATTTTCATGATTCTCCAAACGAAAGAGGTAACGTCTACTAAATTCTTCGATTGTTTCCTTTACAGTAGACAACTTTAGACCCAGGTGGAGGATATCATTTCTCTCACAGAAAGGAACCCCCACTATGGTGCCTAGAACTATATTTTGAAAATTTTGAATTTCTTTTAAATTTGAATTCGATGTACTTACTACTCCAGATTTCTATGCAATACGTTCAGCTAAGTAAGCAACTTATTTTTCAGACTGAGGCGGGATGTTGACCTAAGTAGCTGGTATAGCTACGCCAACTTTAATCTTAGCAGAGTTCTTTTTATTTTTACGTGATCTTTTCAAGTGCGCATCTTATCGCAATCACCAAATATTTGATTCAGAGTTGCCCACTGAAATGTCTGATATGTAAAAAATGTAGTCTTGGAGCACCCAACACAAACAGGTTTCAAATCCGACTCAGCATCACGGCATCTATGTTTGATTTATTGTCGTTATAGCGTCGCAAACATGGAGCAAAATTAAGAGAAAATACGGCATATWTTACAGTACTACTACGATAAAGGAAAAAATGCATCTCAAGCCGCCAATAAAATTTTGTGCAGTTTATGGACCCAATGCAGTTTCCGTTTCTACCGCACAACGATGGTTTCAACGTTTTCATTCTGGTGTAGAAGTGGTCGAAGATGCGCCGCGCTCCGGAAGGCCTGTCGTCAAAAATGCGATAAAATCGCTGAATTGGTCGAAAGAGACCGGCATAATAGCAGCCGTAGCATCGGTCAAGAGCTGGGCATGAGTCATCAAACCGTTATAAAATATAAAAAAAATAAATAGATAAAAAATACTTTCTTTTTTTACAATCAATGTTTAGGACAAGAAATGTTATGTTCCAATTTTTTATGAATATAGATACATATGTATAGAATTAGTGTTGGTACTTCCTTATTGAACCACTTGTCAAGAAATACCGACGAGTCTCATATATCATTTCCCATAAAAAGAAAGAGTGTAAAAGAAAATGTCAAAGTAACAGGTAGAGTTAACATGCTTAATGAGATTATAAATAACTCCGAAATAAATGGCGGTGCTGCTACACTACTCCCCACCTAATTCGGAATTGCGGCAGTTTGTAAGACGGTGATAACGATGGTCTCACCGACAAGTTGCAGATAAAAATTTTATCGCACGTTTTTAAAACGGACTTCAAGAATAACTTTTGAATTGTATGCCAAGTCGTTTTGACAGAACGTAGGTCGCGGGTTATATGTTGCAACTGAGTATCAACTTTAGCCTTACTAACTGGTACAGGAGAGCTGATGAAAAATTCGGATGGCAAACGTAACGTCGTCCCAAAAACAAACTCGCCGGCGATGCTCTTCTATCCAGCTGAAGAAGCAGCATTTGACGATCGCGTTTGTTTGTGGATGGTAAGGGACAGTTCGTAAGTGCTTCCCGCTGATACATTGGAGTAAATGTTGAAAAAGTTTATATTCAAATTCTTGGCCAGGTGAAACGTTCGCTCATCATCTTTGATAATGCACATACTGCTTGACGTAATCGTTGTTGATGAACTGTCGGATGCGTTCGGTCGAAATATCACAGTACTCCTTACTTGTGCCAGAAGGAAGACCATACGAAATTAGTTTCAATGAATGCCTTACTTACCCATTGAGATAGGATTGGAGCACTTCGTTCATCGCATTAGCAGTGGCTAAGTCGTAGTTGATTGATTGAAGAGTTGTTTCTGCGGTTATTGCTTCGATCCGATACACCATATCGGCAACAAAATTTTGTTGATCAGATAGGTGACAGATGTTTGTAGTGATTTGAGCAATAAAATATAGTAGTCCCGCTTGACGGTCCGAAGTCTTTTCGAATCGTTGATGAAATGCGAATGTGAGAGGTTTCTCGTCTGTGTAGACGTGGCATTCTCACCCTTTAAGCATAAAACAAAAAAAGATACATATTTATTAGCTATCTGTCGTAAGTGCTGTATCGCTGTTCGGCTCTTGAAAATTTTCGTTGGTTGAAATCAGTAATTGGAGCGAGTTGTTAACTACTTGGTGTAGCGCTGCACCGGCTGCATAATCGGGTTCGTCAATTCACAATAAAAATTGCCCGTTGAGAGTGGAATGTGGCAGAAGCATACATTTAGCCAGGCCTTCCATACAGACTTATTAATGTTTTATATTTTCTTTGGTCCATACGAGAAGTGAGTGATCATTGCACTTCTTACCCGTAGTCATGTCAAATAATGGTACTTGACGTGRAAGAAGATTTTTCAAAAAAGGTCTGTAAAAGTTTACCATGGTCAGAAAGTGCTGCAGATACTCCGTAGAATTTGGAARTTGTGAGTCCGAAAGTTTTTGTGATGTACATACGTTTTGCAAAAATTTTCTTTATGTAAGCAGTATGTGCATTATCAAAGATGATGAGCGAACGTTTCACCTGGCCAAGAATTTGGTGAAAAGTTTTGTGTAGGTCGATTTTTGAAAAGTAGGTTTGCCTGATAATATGTGCGTAAAATCGAGAAGAAACGGAAGTGGGCACCTATCCGGTACTGTGACTGCATTAAAGGCATGGTAATCACCACATAGTCTTCAACAATCATTTGATTTGTCTACCATATGCATAGGGCTTTCACAGTTGCGCAGCTTTTCAGGTGGCATTGTCCTTGGTCGGCTAAAGACCGGTTATCCGGACGTAATGATGCGATGAATGACTGTAGATTCTTTTTGGTACGTCTAGAGGAGATTAAAGAGCTACTTCCGTAAAATTTAACAAAATATCCGAAAGTCTCATACTGATGATAGTTGGAATACTTGGCGTATTTATTGACTTTACCGACCGCATTGTTTTTGACGCTGTGCGGCGATCAAGTAGTCGGTGATGAGAACTGATAGCAGATCGAAAAATGATAAGAAGTCTGCGCTTATAATCACCTGAGAAACTTCGGTAATTATTAACATGCACACGAACTTTCTACATAGATTCAGGTTTAATTTAAGTATTACTTCACCAAACACTTGAATTGATGAACCATTAGCAGCAAACATTCGATGGTTACCGATTTACTTGCTTCAGCCAAAGTTGAATATTTCAGTATAGTGGATACCTCTTCGTCGGAGTCGATAAGGAAACTATTTTTTGCAATTTAACAGATTCCCTAATGAAATCAACGATTTTAACTTCTCGACGTTGAGAACATTTGTAGAAAAGATTGCCGCTTGAGCAAGTGTGAGTAAACGAGTTATATTACATATAAGTCACATACATAAGAGACTGATGATATAAAATAAGAAAAATTAATACTGAAAAAGTAATAATTCACGGGTTCATCTTGTAGAGCGTTAGCATCCTTATTCAAACAGTTGTAATAAAAAAAAAACAAGTTTCTTACTTTATTTGACATAAGAGAAAAGATAATTAACTTCGAAATGAGAGGCCGTGCTGCCACATATAGTATATACAAACATATACTGTGATCAAATTGAAAGGTTAATTTTTCCATTTCATCTCCTTCACAGTAATCCATTCCCATTGCAATACACTCGGAGTGGTYTTGTGAATTTGCTGAATAGCTAGAAGTTACACGAAGGTAAATCAGGCGAAAGCAGTGGTTGCGGCACGATATTAGTTGAAAATGTGGTGAAATGATCATAAATAACCTTATGTAGCAGATACTGCATTATCGCACTTCTTTGTTCAATAAATTCCGACATAGTAAAATCGAAAAATTCCCTTTTAGAGCTTCACAAAACGACGCGTATCTCAAATACTAATGAATATTTTGACGTGAAATTTAGC